ATCTGTGATATAAAGAAAAGAAAAAGGAAAGGAAAGCATGGGAAAGTGATAAAGATCAAAGAAGGGGTCCTATTTGTTGGTCTGGCGAGGTTGTGTAAGAAGGCACCTGGTGGTGCAATCTGGTGAAATGTGAGAGCAAGCCATGTTATTATCAGAGAGAAGGCAGCTCAAGGCAAAGCATGTGTAAAGGCCCTGAGGTAGGAGTGTGCTTGGAATATTCACAGAACAGCAGGAGGCTCACTGTGGCTGAGGAGAATAAGCCAGAGGAGGATGGGTAGGAGATGAGATTGGAGAGATGGGTGGAGGCAGAGAGCATGCAGGGCCCTGAACCCAAGATAAGGGATTTTCTTTTGCCTTGAATGCCTTCCCCTACCATCTGTAACTTTTGGGTGAGGTTGGAATTAACTTTAATCTGTTCCACATGCTAGCTAGTTGCCCCTCTGTTTACTGAATGATTCTCTCTTCCTCATTGATTTGAAATGCCATTTTATCATATATTAATTACATATGTCTGTTTACACAGATGTACATGTTGATCAACACTCTTCCATTGGCTTATCTTCTTGCATATGTACCATTCTCTTCTAATTATTGTACCTTTATACCAAGCATTGGCAAATTATGGCCCCACGGGCCAAATTCGGCCTACTACTTAGATTTTATAAATAAAGTTTTATTGGAACACAGCTACCCTCATTTGTTTATGTATTGTTTATGGCCACTTTGAGCTCTAACGGCACCAGTAGTTGCAGAAGCGATGGCATGGCCCACAAAGCTAAAAATGTTTACGATCTGGCCTTCTACAAAGAATTTACCAACCTCTGCTTTATATTATGTATTGCTATCTGATAGGGCACGTTTTTCCTCATTCTTCTTTTTCAACAATTTCTTGGCAAGGCCAACATGTTTATTCTTTCAGATGAACTTTAGAATCAGTCTGCCTGACTCCCTTCCTTTTCTCCACCTCTTTCGGGGTGGAGATCTGAGAGGCAGGAAGAATAGGAATTTGATTGCATTTAATTTGTAGTTTAGTGCAAAGGGGAAGTGATTGCTTTATAATACTGAGTCTTTCCATTCCAGCGGTGTAATATCTCTGATATCTCTACATTTACATCTTTCAGTAAACTTTTATTGTTTTTTCATTTGTATGTTACATATTTGTTTATTCCTGTATGTATTATTGCTTTTTGTTGCTATTACAATTGAGATCATCTCCCAGCTGTATTTTACAAGTGACTATGGTATGAGGGAAAGGATTTGATTTTTAAGAGTTTAAATTGTTTCTGACCTTCTTCTGGAAATAAACTCCTATTAGGACTGTTAATTTTTAAATTTGATTCTTTTGGTTGATGGTCATTGTCTGAACTTATACAATTGTTTTGTTCCTAATGTTTATGTCTGTTTATATTGTGGAACTCCATACCTAGAGTAGTTTGGGGACATGGACTTTGGCCCCCCCACCCCGTCATTCTTTTTTTTTTTTTATCATATGTAGGTCACAGCAAACGATAATTACAAAACAACAAACAAAAACCCAGGAAACTCTATGCCCAGTCAACATTTGTTGATCGTTTTAAGAATACCCAGAAGATAATTTAGGCATGCTGTTTATTAAGCAGGCTATGCCTCTTTGCAGAGCCAGTTTTTGCTTTTAATACAGGATAATAGGGTTTGCATGTTACACAGGAGAGTGAAACCCAGTCAGTGGTTTACTGTGGAGTCATTTGATCATGGAATAAAGGTGACTTAACCTAGCATTTATCCTTTGGAATTGAAATATGAGCAGAAGGAAATTTTTATGAATCAGTGCTTTCCTAAATATGTTCTCTGTAAAGCATTTGATCTTTACCCTTAACATCTATTCCTTAAGGATGTTAAATCTATTTTAGATTTCAAGATCTGTTACTTGCCCTGAGCACTAAACAGATGAATCATCAATTCAATATATGTTAACCTTTGTGGATTTATCTTTTAAGGCCATTTTTTTCTTTTTTTCTCTGAATTTGTGTCTCCTTAGCTGCTTCTTACCTTGGCGAAGCTAAAGAGAAATTATTCATGTTGCTGGTTTTTTTTTCCTTTTGGCGAAGAAATGATGAGATGGTGATGATAGTGGATGTGGAAATGGAGAATTCCTGACTCTACTGTGTGATTTGCGAAATAAACCTTGTTATCCGTGTTGCCTGTGAAGTGAAAGTTCGTATGTAGAACCCGGTCTTAAATGCTCTTGTCTTTTTTTCCTACTATGTTGAGATTATCTTTGACCGTCATCGTGAACATCGGTTGGTGGTATTTGAATATAGAAATGCCATCATAGGCTGTAAAGACGTATCAGGCCACATGCCTCAATCACAGAAGGAGCCCCAACTTCAGAGTTTTTGTTTTGGGGCTTGACTTGGACCTATGGAAATTAGAGACCATTTTAGATAGAAGTGTGATAATGGAAAATAATATAAGCGAATGTAGTGATAATTGGTCTCTTTTATTGGACACTTAATATGGACCAGGCATTATAATGGATGTCTGCCACATCTAGGAATTGTAATCTCATTTTATAGATGAGAACATTGAGATTTAGGTTAAATAACTGGTGGACCTGAGATTCAAATCAGCTTTCAGTCTCCACAGAGAGGTTGTAAATTGAAGTGGCATTTTGGCTGTGATTTTTGTACAGAACTGTGTGTGTGTGTGTGTGTGTGTGTGTAGAAGGATTTAGAAATTGTAATTCATGTAGATTCTTTTTTTAAGGGGGGGGGCAGAGGGAGAGGGTGAGAGAGAATCTTAAGCAGGTTTCACACTCAGCCTGATGCCAGGCTTGATCTCATAACCCTGAGACCATGACCTGAGTTGAAATCAAAATCAAATGCTTAACCAACTGAGCCACCCAGGCGCCCCTCATTTAGATTCTTTTATGTGAATTTTGACAGTTGAATTAACATCAGAGTGGTGAAAAAGCGTACCATGGTGGGGGGGGGCATCTGGAAACCTCGGTGCTTGAATAATCTTTAGCAAACCCCTTTTTCTGTCCCTCCCTCCATGTGGCCTCAGTGAAGAGAGAATCTGGATCCTTAAATTTTTTCAGTTTTTGGGGTTTTTTGGGGAGGGGAGACCCAGGAGTTTATTTCAGGATTTAATTTAGAGATGACGATGGAATGTATCATTTGTCTTCCGATTTTTGAAATTGAGAGAGTATGAAAAGGGGAGGTTATGGTGTGGTGGTAAATGTGGGTCACGGGGGCTGCGTGTGTTCAAGCTCCCCAAAGCGTCTTGTGGATCAGGAGAGTACTGTTGCGCCTAGCTTGAAAGACCCCATCAATGTTTATTAAATAGACACATAAGTAAATAAACGCACACACATATGTACACATACTCCAAGTTCTTTCCTAAACCTTTTCAGTGCAACTGCACTAATTAAGATGGAAAATCAGGATTCTGGGCCACATTATGTCATCATTTATTTACCTTAAGTATGGCTAAACCATTCAGATGCTAAACAAGTAACACTTGTCTCTAGTCAAAGCCCATTTAGAGTCTGAGGCCCTGCTCTGGTTGTCTCTCAGCCAAAAAATCTGGTTAGTTGGGCAGTTCTCAGTGGCTGTGAGCGGAGCGTGTGACCATGGCTGCCACCAGGTGGGTCGGAGTGGTACACGCGCGCGTGTGTGTGTGTGTGTGTGTGCGTGTGCGTGCGAGTGTGGCCTGCTGCCCCTGACAGTGACCTGTGAATGCCAGAGGCTCTGCTGCCTGCCAGCCCAGAACTGGATTCCTGGCACAATTTCGAAAAGAAAGTAAAGCTTTCTAAATACTGGCAGGGCAGTCAGCTTGCTTTCCAGACTCAGAGCGGCAGCCGAGAGTCCAGCCCAGCACAACTTGTACTGTAGTGTCTGTTCTTTGGTCTCTTCTTTGCCTAATTTGTCTAATACATGTCCCAAGGAAACTATTCCAGTGAAAGGGGATTTTTTTCCTCTTTTATCAGAATGGCCTAACTTGGGGGAGTTACAGTATCTTTTCAAGGTTACTTTCAGACTAACCTTTGTGATGGTAAAGGAACTAGTGTAAATCTTGATATTTTGTGAAAATACTTTGATGTTTATTCAAATATAAAATTATTTATAGAATTTTAACTTATATTTATGTAGCCTAATACGTATGCAAGCCATAAGAAACATTTGAAATTAGAGATTCAAAACAGTTGAAAGTTTTATGTTGTGTGGGATTCCAAGATGTATGTATGATTTAGCGGGTAATCCAGAAATTATTAGAGATGATGGGGGTAACGTTCTTTGATTTGGACAGGTTTATGAGCATGATTTCTGGTTCTGCGTTCCGGGGTTTGTGGCATTTTTTAATATTGCAATGCAAGTAACTATAGGCTCCATCACTGGGCTCTGGGCTCATGGACTCAGCTTGCAGTGTAGTCCTTTGATTTGTCTGCTTGATGGGAGGGGAGGGACTTAGGTTCCATTTTTGCTCTCTTTTTGTATAAGAGCCAACAAAATAAATATATTATAAGAAATGCCAAATGGTTGAGATGCTTTTCTATTCTTTTCTTGCCAGGAGCTTGATTTGATACTGTATTAGTAATTCTGGGGAAGAGAAAGGGCAAGGGAAAGAGAAAGAGAAAGTGAACATGTTTCTTTTGAGATCTTCTATTTGTGTGACTTGTTTAATTTGCTAACATTATTGACATTTTTCTCTTACGTTCAGGTTCATTGCTGGTAGGATTTTACAACTACTGAGGGATTTTTATTTTACCTTACAGTTCACATGAAAATTTCATGAACTTAAACATTCGGTTGGGAATTTAACTTTATTGCCAGACTTCATTTCTAAGAGATAGGTCAGTAGTTGCATGTTGTATTTTACTTAATAAGTATCAAATTAATGGAGAATACTATTCAGTGGTATCAAAACATTTGTTTTTCTTCACTTCTGAGTTTTCTCCTTTTACACTGTTTTGGCAGCCTGGGAAATAAATGACACTGAATTTTCTTTTTCTTTTAAAGACTTCCAGCTGAACTCTCATCTCTCAACACTGGCAAATATTCATAAGATCTACCACACCCTTAATAAGCTAGTAAGTCAACCTTTTAAAGGCGAAACTACCAGCTGTTTAAAGTAGTTGTTTTAAGTGTATTTGGTAAAAATTTAGATTACAGATATTAAGATATCAACTGTTCATGAAGATGTTTATGGATTTTAAAACTTGCTGTATGGTGTGTGATTTCTTGGTAATAATGAACATATTTCTTGCAGAATCTAACAGAAGACGTTGGCCAAGACGATCACCCAACAGGTATCTGTAAATGCTTGCACTACTTAAATTTAAATAAACTTTGTAATATAAAGTTATAAAGGAGAAATACTAGCTGAGAATGATCTGTGTTGTAATACACTAACAAGTTGTTACTTGGTTGAGGGTGTTTTTCAGGGTGTATGAAGGAAGCCGTGTTCTAGCTCCTTCCTAGTGTCCTATCTCTGTTGGTGGGCCTCTGGTTTATGTCAGAGTACTTCAGTCCCTTTAAAGGGGCTGGGACCTCCCTAGTGGTTTCACAGTACTGTTTCTTTACTGAAGTATTTTAGTTCATACTAAAAACTTACTACAGTAATGCAGTTTGAAAAGTACTCCACAAATGCTTGTTGAGTTGAGATGAAAAATAATTTGATAGACGGGTGGGGTGTTAGATGTATGTGTTGTATAGGTCTTGAGGATTTATGAATTGGAAAATTGAAACAATTATTATAAACAGTTCTCTAGTCCTGTGGTTCTTAAACTTTAGCTAGCTTGTAATCCTCTAGGGAGGGCTTGTTAAAACAGATTGCTAGTCTCCACCCCCAGAGTTTCTGATTCTGTAGACTTGGGCTGGGGCCCCAGAGTTTGCATTTCTCACAAGCTCTCAGATGATGCTGATGCAGCTGGTCAGGCGATCACACTTTGAGAACCACTTCTCTAAACTGTTGATAATCCCAAAGTTCAGAAACTTTTACTTGATCTGTGGTTACTATATCTCCCAGCAAAAATTATTAAAATACAAAGTTTTTGAAAATTACCACAGTAATATGGGAACACATGCTTGTTGGTGAATTTTGAATAGCACAAAAGTGAATGGAGTACAAAGTGGCAGTTCTTTTTCTTCGTCTCCCAATCTAGCCTTCCCCCAGGATGCTGTGTGATGTTTATTCTTTCAGACATTTTTATGCGTGCATATACTTTTATAGTACTTCTAAAAATTTAGCATCTGTAAGATCATAATTACATATTATACAGCATCTTTCTTTTTCTCATTGAATGGTGTATCTTGGAGGTTTGGGGGTTTAGAACTCTCCCACCTTCTCCAGATTGGTTCAGAATCATTTGAAAATTAGACACAAGATGGAGATTGAAGTAACAGTTTGTTGGAAAACACAGCTTGGATGTATAGATAGAATGCAGAGGCTTTTCTGTATTTCATCTGAATTAGCCTGACGTGCAGTCGCCACCACAACTAGATAAGCACAGGCCAGCACACCTCCTGTCCCCCCCTCCAACCCACCCGTTATGACAGCAGAGGAGTCTGAGCTTCTGCTGCTAGGCCAATCTGAAAGGGAGTCAGAAGGGGCTGGGCCCTGCTCAGCTCTTTCTCCCTGGACCACTAATGAGATCAGACACTCCTTCCAGGACAAGGAGCGAGAGAAGTGGGGGGGTGGGGGATGTCAAGGCAGAGTCTGTGCCAGGAGTGTTCTAGAAGGCGAGGCCACAGAGGCTCCCTTCCCCTGATCTTTCTGTGTCAGTAAATCAACTCAAGGGCAATCAAAAGCAGTTTGCTTAATACATTTTGAAAACAGTGTATGCACATGGTTTTAAGAAATATAGAAAATGTAGAAAATAAAAAATGAAAGTTTCTGTTCCGTTTTATTACCCCCAGCTTTCATCCCCCACTAGTACTCCACATTTGACTCTCCAGAGGTAACTCTTATATTCTTATGTTTGCTTCCTTAATGATGATGATATTTCCCCCCCAAAACAGTATATATTTGTGTGTGCCTCTTGTGTTTGTCACTCAGTATATCTTGATCTTTTTATAGTAGCACATTTATTAAAGCATCTGCTTTATTTTTTTGGTCTGTGCATTTTTAAAGTTCATGGATATATCATAATGTGCTTCTGCAGTCTCCTGTTGATATACATTTAAGTCTGTTTGACTCCGCTGCTACCAGTAATGCTGAAATAAAATTTTCAGGGCCAGTTTTAATAGAAGTAAAGCACATTTCTCTCCAATTCTGAACCAATATGTTGGTGGGCTCTGAGGATTTTTTAAACTTAAGAGTTAGTGCAATTTTGATTTAAAACTGAATTTTGTGTTGGTACAGCCTTGAGGTTGTCTCTTCTTTAGCTGAGGTAATAAACCCTCTTGAGTTCTGAATCTTGTACATTATGTAGTTAACTTTGAACTTTAGATTTAAATGAATATTGTTACTATAGTAATTTTATGTCTAAATATTTAACCCAAATGTGGCAATTTAATAACTGGAAGCTGTAATTAAGAAAATGAAAGTGGAAAATGTATTTGGCCTCATGCCTCCTCTCTCACCCTTGGGGACAGTGGATATGTGTGATGTTTGGTATGTAACGTGCTGGTGCAATGCCTGGTACCTCATACATGCCCGTCAGTGTCAATTAGCATTAGTAATTTCTTAGAACAGTCCATTTCATTAACATTTCCCCATTTGGTTGTAGCATCACTTGTGATTACCATACCTGACAGTATGCTTTAAAAATTAAACAACATAAAATCTGTTATGTTTGGAAATCTGAGAACATTAATCACCATAATGCTGCTTTGAATCTTTTGAAGCCCAACGGTAGTCTCAGCAACGTCTGTAAGAAACTGTATATGGAAGAGCCAAACCTAAGTGCAAGAGAGGCTGCTGTGTCCCTTCTAACACTTTTCTTTGGTGCTTTCAGTCTTCTTCCCACCAAGAAAAGAAAAACAGAGAGAGACAGAGTTAATCTTGGACAAGTAGCCCCAAATCCAAATTATAGGGAATGAATAAAAAAAGCCAAATGGAGAGGACAAAAAACAATGAGTAAGAAAAAAGATGATAGATGTCAGAAGTCAGTATTTAGAGAGAAAGGAACGGAAAAATGTTTTTGTCTTAAATAGTAGGATAAAAATTTCACATTTAGACACTAATAGTTTCACTCAAGCAAGTAGTTCAATGATCTGTTCAAGGAAATGGAAGAAAATATTAGGTACTGGAAAGGTGCTTTGAAATGTGATCTGTTTATCAACCCGAAATCACTATGTCTTTGTGACATTGTTCAGTGAATAGTGAGCTGAAACAGCTATATAAAAAGTACTGAAGTGGCAGAATGAGCCATGTAAAATGTTATTAAGTGAAACAAGGGTATGATACAACAAACTCAGTAAAATGAAAAATCAGACAGTGAGATTTTTGTATTAGAACATGCACTTGGGCGCCTGGGCGGCTCAGTCGTTAAGCGTCTGCCTTCAGCTCAGGTCATGATCCCAGGGTTCTGGGATCGAGCCCCACATCGGGCTCCCTGCTCAGGGGAGAGCCTGCTTCTCCCTCTCCCACTCTCCCTGCTTGTGTTCCCTCTCTCGCTGTGTCTCTCTCTCTGTCAAATAAATAAATAAAATCTTAAAAAAAAAAAAGAACATGCACTTACACTAAGGAAAGATCAGACAAATTCTCTAATTTTATGGACCTCTTGAGGCCCCAAAACAAAAAGATTAAAAAAGAAAAGGCAGTGGAGCATCTTAGATACTTAGATACTGTTTATTAAGAATAACAGGTTTAGTTAAATTATCATCAAAACAACAAGCTGGATAGTCATTAAAGGGCCTTTGGTCTGATCCCAACTCAGGTTGCTCTTTGAAGTAGATTTTGTGGGACCAAATATTAAAATAAATAAGCTGAAAGATGTTGGCAGTATTTCTAATTGTTTAATGTGGGACGACTTCATTGACTACCTGATTTATTTGAAAATATAGGCAGTGAATAGAATATTTCATTTGTTCTCTTTAGCATCTTAGATCACTTTAGATCCACTTTAGTGATCTGAAGTTCTTTTAACACTAAATCAAAAAGAAATGAACCTGAACTCAAGTTATAACCCTTGGGTAAAAAAATATAAGCAATTTTTATTGCCTTCTTAAGGACTGTATATAAATACACACACACACACACAAACCCACCCCCACCCACCCCAGCATCAGGGTATATATAAGCAATTTTTATTGCCTTCTTAAGGACTATATATAAATACACACACACACACACACACACACACCAGCATCAGGGTAGATTTCAGACTGATTGTCCATCTACTATAGAAATATTGAGACTGAACACCAGAACATCAAGATAATATTAAGGGGTGTGAGTTATAGTTTGGGATTGCTAGTTGGGATTCTTCTCCTCCTCTTCCTCTTTATTATTATTATCAAAAGGCTTTTCTTCTTTCATATGTATCTGCCAAATATTTCTCATGATGTAAGGTGAATCTTTTATTTTTTTTAAAGATTTTATTTATTTATTTGAGAGAGAGAATGAGACAGAGAGAGTACATGAGAGGGGGGAAGGTCAGAGGGAGAAGCAGACTCCCCGCTGAGCAGGGAGCCCGATGCGGGACTCGATCCTGGGACTCCAGGATCATCACCTGAGCCGAAGGCAGTCGCCCAACCAACTGAGCCACCCAGGCGCCCCTAAGATGAATCTTTAAAATCTTTTTCATCACTGCTTTTTCTTGGGTGATTGGCAAAGAATGAAAACTTGCAGCTCTCTGATCATTTCAAATGAATTTGGAGTTTCCTAAAGTTCATCTATTGGAAGTTGCTTTTCTTTCTTAAGTAATTATTGACCTAGGAACTTTCCAGTGCTCAACTTTATCGGCCAATTTTCTCATCTGTAGAATTGGGATGGTAGTAATACCTCTCAGATTTGTGAGGATAACTTTGGAAGTGCTTCAGCGTTATACTTTATAAACTATCAGCCTTAACATTTTGCCTTGATTTGTAATGTCAGATTGATTGTACTTAAGTAGATACTTTTAGGGGGTTAAAATAGTCCATTCTTTGAAGTAGATAACATTTCGTAACATTTTCATAAGTTTTATTAGTTTAAAGATAAAGTTTAGTTGAAGTAGATTAATTGATATAAATTCTGAGTCAGTAAAACCTAAATTTAATGATACAAATAAATACAAATTTGTAAAACATTCATTTAAATGAGTGTAATTTTTATTATAAAAAGACATCACAGAGTTATTTTAAGAAGCAAACAGTCTCAAATATTTTTGTTTAAAAAAATCCTACTTGCCAGGAGACTTAAAGTCGAGTGCTTATTTTACTGACAAACAGGAAAAAAAATCTGAAATGATATACTATCTATTCATTGGTATTTTAAATATCTGGAAAGGTACTAAGGAAATGTACTGACTTTTTAAGTAGAATTTGATTTACACATGTTTTAGGAACACATTTATTTCACAAATATTTATTGAGAGTGTTCTGTAGGATTCTCAGTTATGTATGTATCTTATTATTATTGTACTAAGATGCTCTATTAGTTGCTGTGTATGCGCAGGTGAACCAAGTGGGGCCTTGCAAACCAATGTGTACTTTTGCACGTGCACTTAAAAACCCTAGTTGTTGCTCTTGCTCAGGTAGGATCCCTGGAGCTATGTTGGGGAGAAGGGGAATGGGTTTGGGGCACACAAGCCTTGGATTGTGTGCTCTCTGTGTATTTTGCTGATTTGGTTCATGTTGGCAAAGTATTATAAGTAACCTTGTTTTCCTTAGCATTAAAAAATTGCTTTTCATGTAGCCTGAAACTTTTCACTGTCATTATGGGTTCTAGGGTTCTACCTCTGGAGCTGTACTGTGTAGTCCTTTGTATCTTCACTGGGGGCTGAGTTTGACACATCTTTCCTCTGAGGCGGGGTGAAAGGGTCAGTAAGCCCTTGAGTGCCTGAAGTCCAGTGGGCACCGGGAAGGTGAACAGACACCATTTCCTTGTGAAAGGTGGCCCCATCATAGCCACCTGCTTATGCCGACCATCAGAGTAAGCAAAAGCCATGGTTCTTAGCTAGAAGATAAAAAGTTTATTTTTATTTATTTATTTATTTATTAAAGATTTTTTTTATTTATTAGAGAGAGACACAGCGAGAGAGGGAACACAAGCAGGGGGAGTGGGAGAGGGAGAAGCAGGCCTCCCACCGAGCAGGGAGCCCGATGCGGGGCTCGATCCAGGACCCTGAGATCATGACCTGAGCCGAAGGCAGACGCTTAACGACTGAGCCACCCAGGCACCCCTAGAAGATAAAAATTTTAAATAAATAAAAGAGTAAAATGCCAAATTGGGGCTCAAATAATGAGTGCATTTTACACAAACACAAGAAAAAGTGATTTGTGAAACTTTTCATAGAAAACATTCATCAATAAGGAAGAAAATAAGGGAAAGTTGAAAAAGTTAACTTATGATGTTTGTATGTTTACCAAAAATGTGATACTCTTGATAACTAGGACTCAGTGAAAGCTAGACGTTATACCAGTTTGTCTATGAGGAAGCAGATAGGAGAGGAGCTAGTGGATTAACCTATATTGGTGAAGACATTATTTTAAATAGTGTGCATTGTTCCATGGGCTGAGGCACTATAGTGCATTTTCTTCCATGTTCTGCAGACACTGGTGTAAGGGAGAGGTTATTGCCACGTGAGATGCTCAGAACCAAGCCATGACCAGTACTGGAAGGAAATGACTTTTTTTTTTTTTTTTTTAAGAGAGGGAGAGTGAGCAGGGTAGAAGGGGGCAGGGAGGGACACGGGGAGAGGGGGAGAGAGAATCTTCAGCAGGCTCCATGCCCAGCGCGGAGCCCAATGCGGGGCTCTCTCTCACAACCCTGAGGTCATGACCTGAACTGAAATCAAGAGTCTGATGCTTAACCAACTGTGTCATCCAGGTGCCCCGACTTTTCTTTATACATAGACATCCAAGGAGGGGAAAGTGAGCTTTGACGTTTAAGACAGACCACTCTTCCTTCCTTCCTTTCTTTTTTTAAATTATAGTTGACATACAATGTTGTATTAGTTTCAGGTGTACAACATATTGATTTGACAATTCTGTACGTTACACGGTGCTCACCAGGGTAAGTGTAGTTACCATCTCTCTTCATACAAAGTTATTACAATATTATCAACTCTGTTCTCTATGCTGTACTTTGTTTGCATCCCTGTGACTTATTTATAAGTAGAAGTTTGTACCTCTTGATCTCATCACCTATATAGCCCATCCCCCTGGCCCACCTCCCCTCTGGCAGCCACCAGTTTGTTCTTTGTATTTGTGAATCTGTTTCTGTTTGTTTTTTTCATTTGTTTTGTTTTTTTAGATTCTACATATGTAAGTGAAATCATATGGTATTTGTCTTTTTCTGAAATACTGTCTAGGTCATCCATGTTGTTGCAAATGGCAAGACTTCATTATTTTTTTATGGCTGAATAATATTCCATTGTGTGTGTGTGCGATGGACACTTAAGTTCTTTCCATATCTGGGCCATTGTAAATAATGCTGCAACAAACATAGGAGTCCATATATTCTTTTCAAGTTAGTGGGGTTTTTTTCCCTTGGGTATAGACCCAGCAGTAGAATTGCTGGATCACAGGGTATTTCTATTTTCAGTTTTTTCAGGGGCCTCCATATTGTTTTCCAGAGCGGCTGCACCGGCTTGCCTTCACCAGCAGTGCACGAGGGTTCCCTTAGCTCCATCTCCTCGCCACCACTTGCTATTTCTTGGACACACCCTTATTTCTGAGCAGTGTGGCAAGCTTTCCAGCTAGGCAGGACAGACTTTTACATTCTGCAACCCCCACCCCAAAGCATTCATGGACAAGAATAAATCTTTTTTTTTCTTCAAAAGCTTGGGTCACTGTGAAATTCTTTGGCCCTTTTTGTGTGCTTTAGTGTTGTTTATAAACAGGACCACTTTATAGGGAAGATGGGGTGTGTGTGGTGGTGGGCAGCACTTTCTCCACCTTTCTCTTCCAGTTACTGCTGCTATTGTGGGGGAGAGAGATATGGTGTGCCTTGTGTCTCCGAAAAACTCTCTGCTTCCATCCTTGGAAGGACAGGATCTGGTAGGGACCTGGAGAAGGGTGGCCAAGGGTTGTCTTTTTAGCCCTGTTTGGGGTCTGCTTTTGTGCTATAGGAGGAGACAGGATCCTCGAGCTCATGCATCGTTCAGTACCTGGCCCTGGGCAGCCGCCTCAGAGTAGGTTTCTAGAAAGAGCTGTCCACGTGCACTATGTTGGCTCCCTCACCCACATCCCTCCTCAGCCCGTTGCAGCCTGGCCTCCACCCTCGCCGCACCCCTGCTGAGGGCCTTCATTGCTCAGTCTGATGGGTGCCTTTGCTCCTTCCCTGAGCTGACCTCGGGGTGCACTTGATCACACCTCCAAACGCTCTCTTCTCCTTTGGCTTGTAGGACATGACACTCTCCTAGTTTTTCTCCCTGCCCAGCTCTTTCTCAGCCCTTTTTACACATCCACCCTCGCCGGGGCTCTGTCCTGAGTTCTCTGCTTCTCAGTCTCTGCCTCGACGGCCTCAGAGAGGCGACAGTAAATAGTGGCTGAGCACTGGGGCTTTGCTGCCGAGCTGCTTGGCTTCCATCATCCGCTTCAGCGACTGCTTTCTAGCTGTTACTTAATCTCTCTTCTTCAGTTTCTTCATGTGTAAAAATGGGGATGCTAGCAATACCTACAGCGCAGGGTCACTGGGAGCACTCGGAGTGCTAAGGTCCAGCCTGAGCATTGTCTGCATACCTCCATTCCAGCAGTTAGAACGTGTTTCTATTTATACTCCCAGCATCTATCTACACACAGTGCTTGGCACCTAAGCACTTATGGAGTAGACGTTTTTCTTCATAAAAATCCTGAGAGGGAGGTATCACAGTTCTTACTCTTTAAAAGATGAACTGGAATAGGTCAGCGATTGACCAAGCCACATAGTTAGGTGAAGAGCTAAAACTTATTCATCGAATGCAGATCATTCAGACACCAGCACCCTTAAGCTCTCTCTTGTCCTCTGACTCAGGGCCTTCCACCAAGGGACTAGTGGAAGGAGGAGAGACATGGGGGTCCAGAATTCACCCCTAAACACTTTTGGGACCTTGGAAAATCACTTGGATGTCCAAGCTTTGGTTTTTCCCATCTGTCAAGCAGAGATCATGATCTCTGCCCTGCCTGACATTCGGGGTTATTGCGGGACCCAAATGGCATATCTGGTAACACCTGTGCCAGGATGGACACATTTTAATTATCTTATAATTGTTTTGTAATTTGTGATGGTTTTAGACAGTCTGAAGCAAGACTGTCTGGGTTTGAATTCCAGTTTTGCCACTTAACCTCTCTCCCTGCCCCCATTCTCTCAGCGGCATAGGCGGTAATGAGGATTTTCTTTTCATAAGGCAGGTAGGAGGTGAACAAGTGAAGGCATCATGTAAATGTTAAGAACAGGGCCTGGCTCACAGTGAGGTCCCTGTACGTGTTCTGTGTTGGGATCATCTGTTAGTATATTTTAATATCTTTAACCAAATGAAAGTTTGCTTCAGAAAATCGCGACCGAACGTGGCAGAAACAGACTAAAAATTATTATGGAAATTTTGCTCAAGATCCTGTCAGCCTTCTGTCCAAAAAAATCTAAATCCTGTTCTTCTAAGATCAGATATCCCTTGAAGCTTAAGCATATTGGGACTGATGTGCTTGTTTGTATTTTAGATTCAAGGTTACTGGTTGATCTGGCCTTGCCTGATGAAATACACAAATGAGATAGCGCAGTTCCTTTTGAAGGAACACTGACATATAAAAGAGACTGAAGCTTTGACGATTTACATTAGTGTTTTTGGAGAGTAAATGGAAATCGTGATAACTTCTGTTTCTAATGTGGTTTTGGGGGTAGGGGGTATTAACTTACTTGTGTCATTGCAAGGTTTATTTCTTGACTATAACATTTTCCCAAAGGAGTTAATAACCTTTTTTTTCACCTTATAACATTTACAGATAACATCTAAACCCTTTACAGTATAAGCCACGACTGTTCTCAATTTGGCGGGTGGCGTTCTCTGGGAATGTTAGGATGTGGCTAAACATGCTGTTGTACCCTGTGACTCTTTGTCCCTAGGAAGCCTGCGGTCTTGCAGCTCTTCAGACTGCTTTAGTAAAGTGATGCCGCCGAGGAAAAAGAGGAGACCTGCCTCCGGAGATGACTTATCCGCCAAGAAAAGTAGACACGATGGGTATGTTGCAGAGACAGTAGATCAGACTCAGTGATGTGTATCAAAGAGGCACACTTTCAAAGTGTAATTATCTTGTGATACTGACTTTACGTGTGGGTTTATAAAACAAAGCCGGATTAGGTAAGTCGAGTTCTTAGAAATTGAAGTTTTGTCTTAGTCGACTTTTTGTTTTAGTGGATCTTAGTTGATCCACCAAAACTGGTGTAGAGTTTCTTTCTTTCCTTTTAAGGGCTTGCCACCTGTGCCTGTTGAGGACCACAGGATTGGTCCCTCCTCTGAGGGGTCTCACTCACCAGCCACAAGCACAGGAAGCCACAGTTGCTTTCGCAGCGGCCCCGGGCCGAGTGGCCGGGGGGCGCCGCGGGGCCTGGACGCTCTGAGCCTGCCCGGAGTGGTGGCCGAGCAGAGGTTGAGTCTCAGATGAGTGAGGATTTGCTAGAAATCATGAAAAAGAAGACTCTGCAAACCACTTCTCTTTCAGACAAGTGAACTGCTTAATTGGGTAACTCGAAGAGTCGTTAGACTTGTTTATTTTAGGCATCTTTAATTCTTTCACCTCGATTTTCATGTGTCTTTTTTACTTGGCTCTTTTTGTTTTTTAACAACGAACAAACATCGTAATTTCCTTTTCTGCCTTTTTTCCATTTTCCTCCATTCTGGCTCTGTAGGTTACTTCACTCATGGGCCTGAATATTCACATCTATAAATCAAGGGGATTAGATGAGTTGTTTCTGTTTTTTCCTTGCTGTGACACTTAATATGCTCCAACTCGGTGGAAGGATAGAGAGATGGACTCTGAAAATGTGAAAATGCTATCACTCTTCCTATACCAGATGAGCAGAAAATGTGGTCTGTGAGAAGATAGCGGTAACTGAGAAGACAATCACCAGCAATGTTTAGACCAGTGATTTTCAGCTTTGGGAAGCCGGGTCACTTGGTCCCTTCTTTGGTGGTGTCGCCGTTCTTGTCATGGAACTGTTAAATGCTAACAATCACATAGCAGTTTGTGACTATATGTGGAGCACTTGCTACTTCTCACCACAGTCTGGGATAACTCCGAATGAGAAAGCTGTGTAACAACTGGTGGCTGCCTTGCGGGGGGCGGTGAGGTCCTCTTACCAATAGCATTTCACTGGCCACCCAAGGGATAGGGGTCTGTAGCTTTAGCTGAGTCTCATTCTTGGTCTTTTTTAAAAAACAACTTTAGTTACATACCACAGCTTTCATCCACATTAAGCGTACAATTCAGTGATTTTTACTAAGTAGTTAAGAGTTACACAACCGTCACTACAAACCAGTTTCCAGAAGACCTCTACCACCCCTGTGAGATCCTGACGCCCGTTCACAGTCCGCTCCCCTGTTCCCACCCCCAGACCCCCGCAACCCCCCATCCAGCTTCTGTCTACAGATTGGCCTTTTCTGGGCAGTTCCTGTGAGTGGTGTTTTTGTGTCAAGCTTCTTTCACTTAGTATGATGTTTATGAGGTTCATCCACGTAATAGCATGTATCGGTATCTTTTTTTATTTACTGAATGGTATTCAGTTGTCCTTTTTTATGTAGAGCACTTTGAGGCACTTCATTACAGTGTCCTGTGTAGGTCTCCATGTTGTTGACCAGTTATAGACTGTGAGCTGAGAATGTCTCGGCCCAGGATTGGAAGCTATATGTTTGAACCCTTGGCCAGTCCCACCTCTGTTTCTGGGTAATGTGGCTACCTCTTATAGAAGAAATACGAAACTGGTGGGGTTGCAGTTTTGGTCTCTGAATACCCTATAGCCATGCTCGGTATTAAAACCCAGAATCTCTAATCAGGGGTATATGCAGATATTCTGGTGAATGGCTAGGTCATGAATAAATACTAGAATGTAATTATGTATGATCTTTGTAATATATAATATAGAAATTAAAACTGCATTCATAAGTGTTTACATGTGTATATGCATACACACACCTGTTTAGGCAATTTATGTATAAATGAGGGAAAGAAAAAGTATATACTCATAATTTTTCTATTGAAATGACTACTTTAAAGATCTTGCCTTCTCTCCCGTCCCCAGATAGGGAACATCTTGGTTCTTAGCCCCCCCGGTCATCATAAAATACAGAATTCCTGCAGAGAGTCAACACTGTTGCAGGAGGACACTGCTGCGCTTCCTGACTCGGTTGTGCAGCCTCTTCTGGGTGTTTCCACACGAGCAGGGCACAACAGGAGAGGGCCAGAAGCCAGGCTCCTCTACTTCTCTCTCCTGAGGCTTTTTTCCCTGGACGCTTGGACATAATTTGATGTTTTTTTATTTGCTTAATGTTCCCTTGACGTGTCCAATACTGGCAGGTTCTTCCTTAGACTGTGTTCTGTGCCCACCCTGACTTGTAAGACATGAAAGTCAGGAGAATTTAATGCGGAGACAGGAGTGAGTTCTAGGGTCTTCGCTGGAAGGAAACACCTTAGCCATTTCTGGCTGTGTCTCACTGTATCACTCTGTAGTTCGTTCTGGCTAGTGAGGTAGAAGGGGGTATATTAAATCAGTCCTTACTGATTACATGTTAATGAGAGTAAAACGTGTGTATCAGGTATTTACCATTTAATTCTGTTTTGGGTAAAACTGTAGTTACAAAAGCTGAAGCTTCCAACTGCAGGAAGTAAAATGTTTAAAATATACTGGAAATACTGATTGAAGAGATGTCTAGTTTGGGTAAAAGAAGAAAAACTGTCTGCTACTTAACAGAAACTCCACATCTTTAAATAATTTCAGACTCCTTTTTCAATTTCTAGCATGTATAGGAAATATGATTCAACCAGAATAAAGACTGAAGAAGAAGCCTTTTCAAGTAAGAGATGCTTAGAGTGGTTCTACGAATATGCAGGTAGGTCCTCATTTAGATGATCTGAGACTGTCCCTTATGAAAATAAGGACTACCTTAGGGAAGATTAAAGAATTTTAAAATGTGTACTTTTCTAATGTGGTTTGTGTGCCGTCTCTTCCCGTTTGAGGGAGGGAACATAGTCGAAACAAATCACCAAATGTCCTATTTATAGCCAGCAGCTAAGCCAAAGAATTCAGAACACTAGAAGGGAACTGAAAAGATGAATGCACTTGGGAGAAATACTCAGGATTGCTAGGAAACCTATTTAGAATGCTGGTAGTGGGTGACTCTTTGGATTGGACATCAAAGTTAAAATAAGCTTTGCTGCTTTGAACCCTTATGTGCAATGGAATTTCTTATATTAAGTGTCTATTCTGAAAGATGATTTGGCAGAAAATGTTTGTTTTGTCATTTAAAATGTCTTAAATTCAGTCCTATTTTTGCAGCTTACAATAGCTGGTTGGATAATATCAGACTGAAATCCAGGGTTGTTCGTCACTGTGCGGTATAAAAAGAAAAGGAGTGTTTCCAGACAAGTTTGAGCTGCAGGCTCTTCTACCCCTCTTTTTTGCTGTGTTTCTGGCGCTCTCATAGCCTCTACATTTGATGATTTCAGCCATTTTCAAACCGATTTTCTTGTCCTCTGTCTCTGTTCCCAACTAGGTTTCATGGGCCTCCTGTGGTCTTACTTAAAAAACGAAACAGATCAGACAAAGTCATTCCCTAACACTCCGCTCCAGGCTCGCCTCCTGCTGAAAAAACTCCCTGCTCCCTCCGGGTTGAAAGAGAACTGACAGGCTCACCGCAGCCCCTCCACCTGGAGTGTTTTCTCGCCGCTTTGCCATCAGACAGTTCTTGCTGTACATCTTCGAGGCCCCTTCATTAGCATAACAGCCTGCTTTGTACTCACACAGGACATTTTCCTACCTGGCTCCCATGCCCTTGTATTAGGTGTCCAAACGGGGGTTCCTCCTGTGGTCTGATCTTGCCGTTCCCTCCCCCGCCCCCCGCCCCCCAACCAATCCCCTACCTCACCCTATTCGTTTTGTGCTAAGAGCCTTGCCCCTTTGGCCACAGAAGTTGTTCCAAGGGCTGGCAGGTAACTCAGGCCAGGCCCATCAGATAAAATTCCCCTGGGATTTTCAGATTGCTGCTAGGAGAAGAGCATCTTTCTCCTCTGGTGGTAGACTTGAAAGGATGTGATCCTGATTCCTGTAGGTCTTTGGATTTTCGTGAGCTACTCCAGTATCTTTCTAGTGAATTAATTCTCCTTCATTACTTGAACTAGTTTGAGTTGGATCTTGTTTGCAGGACAGCAGCCTTGGTACAAATACTTACATAGGGGTGCCTGGGTGGCTCAGTCGTTAAGCGTCTGCCTTCCGCTCAGGTCATGATCCCAGGTCCTGGGATCGAGCCCCGCATCGGGCTCCCCGCTCCGCGGGAAGCCTGCTTCTCCCTCTCTCACTCCCTCTGCTTGTGTTCGCTCTCTTTCTGTCTCTCTCTCTGTGTCAAATAAATAAATAAAACTTAAAAAAAACTTACATAGTATTAGAATGTATGTGTTTCCATGTTACATCACAAGAAAATGAATCTCTCGAAGACATTTTGTATTCCTATAAAAAGTGGTTGGCACTTTGCCAGGTGGTTCGATACATGGGTGCTGAATGAATGGTTTTCTCATATTTGTATCACTTTGTGAAGGTTTTTTGCTTTCTTATCTTGGTTCACATTGATTTTTATGAAGTGGGTTATGAAAAGGAAGTTTTAAACAGACAAAAAGTACACTTAATTCTACCATCAGAGCACAGCTATTTTGATTTGTGTTTGTGTGTCTTCCTTTATAAGCAGACATTATTTTTCCCTGGTATGGCCACATTTCTGTGTCCTTTAAAAAGAGAGCAGGCTACAGTTTTCCATCTTTGCTTTTCTCTGGCTCAGGAAGGTGACATTTGGGATAAAGATTAAGCCACATTCTTGAGGTTCCTTGAGATCCCTGCCAGGTGGTTCCTTGCAGTTCATCCCTGCAAAAAGTTTTTGTGGGTGTGGCTATCCCTGTTTTTACCCCCACCCCCATTTTGTCGTCTTTTCCTGTGTTAGTAGGGAAAATGGCTTGAAATTGGGAATAATTAGGAGCTCCAGCTGATACCTGCTTTCACTTCTAATAGCCCAAACACATGAGTAAAAGCTGTCAATCATTACTGAAGAAAAGCAAATGGTGAGATGACCCCGGGCGACTGTCATGTTGTGCTGTGGGATGAGTCTGCCGGGGCAGGCTGTGAGGCGGGGGTGCTAGCTAGCAAGAGGAAGGCTTTACGCCCCGCGGTGATACCCCCTGTGGTGAGTTCTGTTACCTTAGGGAAGAGCTAGCTGGCCTGGGCTGACTCTCTGCACTTTAATCCGAGGTGGGTGGAGGGTCGGATGGAGGGTAGGATGGAGGGGCGGGAGGGCCCTGGTGGTGCAGTTGTCTCACATGGGTGCCCCTTCCCTTCTTCCCAGAGTTCTCCGTTCCACTCCTTGCCCTGTCCTCCACTGCCCGTGGCTCCTGCAGCCTGAGCCCTGCTCCTCCCCGCTTCTCCCGGGCCAGTTAGCGCCAGCGCTCCTTTACACATTCTGGGGTGCAGCCTCTCCCCTTTTCAAATCCTGATCAACTCCATTTCTGGTTCTTAGAGATTGAATAAATGAAACCTGCTCCACCGGGGGCTCTTCTGGGTCTCTGTGGCTAGAGGTTTGCTCCCTTTTGTACTTTGGTATTTGAGTTCTTGGTGACTTGAGAAAGGAAGGTGGGGGAGTGTTTAGTCCTCCATCTGAAACTGGAGTCCCATTTCTTTTCATTAGGATGAAAATAACCAGTTTTACAGAAGCAGTTTACCTAATTTCCACTTTCTGAAGTATATCTAAGAATAAGGAATTAAGCCAAACACGTGCCAACGTTGATGTCAGAGTTACAGGGAAACTCACATAGATGTAGATCATAGAAGTTCTCCCGAGTCCTGACTGACTGTGGGCCCTTAGTTTCTGTTTGGGATTAAGTTCTATGACAGGATCGTGTTTTGGTTTTCCAAAATGAGATTAAGGACCAGGAGCAGATGCTAAGTGACCAAGTGGTCTGTCAGCAAGGGAACCGAGGCTGAGGACGACGCAGCGGACAGTGTGGCCTCGTTTGCCTCAGGGATGCAACATGGTGGCCTTATGGAAGCTTTCCCTTGAGGGCCTGGGGCCATGATGAAAAATGTATTTATGAGGGGCCCCTGCTTAAGGTGGTGGGGGGAAAGTGGGAGCACTACTGTTTCTTAGATGATTGTCAGTGTATCTGCCTTCCAAATGTATCTCCACTAGCTTGTTACCAGAGCATTCCACAGCTCGGGATTTTAGATACAACTTTTTTAAAATTCTCTCCTTCGTGCTTCACTTCTGACCCACTTTGTGTTAGCCAGTTACATATTCAGAATTAAGAATTCTCAGTTTTTAATGTTAGAATTAAGATGGCTAAATTCTACGAGTGAGTTGATGCATTTAGTGTAAATACAATCTTAACGCCAGCGAACAATGTGATTACAACTAAATTTAAGTATGTGCACGAGAAAGATCATGGCAAAAAGAGAAAAGTTGTTTTAAATAGCATAATTATGGGTATCTTTTAAATAATGTTGATTAGCAAGCTACATTTTACTATTTTTAGGATAGAATACTACTTTTGGCAGTCATGCCACTGTAAGTCATAGGGTTAAAAACTTGCTCTTTAAAAACAACAGATGCAAGTGTATGTCGCTAACATGACAATGGCACTGCATGGAATCTGGAAGAAAGGAAAAACCCTGGAGAACTTAACATGACTGCTGCATGGTATACCTCAGCAAACTTCCTTTGAGGGCTTGCTGCGTGCCAGGCTCTAGGGTGCACTCAGCTCATTTTCTAGGGTAGCTAGCAGACAGACCGAGAAGCATCGTCTTTAGGATGAATGCTGGCAGAGAGCCGTGTCGGTGGCCAGGCTGGAGGGACGGACATTGGGGGGAAAGGGGGGAGGTCAGCCGGGACACCAAGGCCCTGTGCACAGGCCCGGGGAAGTCAGGTGCCTTGCAAGGCTGAAGGATAGGTAACAGCAGAAGAGCTTTTTTAAATCAGGAGGAATGGAAACCAAAGACAGGAATTTAAAGAATGATAAAGTAACTTTTTCTTTCACATCTGCAACCACCTCCCAAGGGGTCCTCTCAGTAGATACCAAAAAAAAGGCATCTGTTCCTAAAAACAAAACCTCTTAGCAAAATAGGAATAGGTGGATATTTCCTCATGAGAAGAATTCTTGGATCTCGTAGCCGGAATCTTTACAGTAGTAGAACCATGGAAAAAATGGTGACCCGTACACGTGCTCCCGTGCTGTGGGGTAATGGCAGATGGGCCCACGAGCAGAGCACGTGGGCGAGCACTCGCCCAGGGAGACCAGCAGGCACATTCAGGGACAAAAGTGAGGTGCAGGATTTGTGGGCCTAGCATGAACCCTTGTGTGTAAACAAACTTAAAAGTGATTTCATTGTGTATTTGCACATACCTGAGTACAAGCATAAAGGTCTGAGAAGATATATGCTGGACTGGTAGGGAAAGGGTGAAAACACCCTTTTCTTTTTAGTCCATTTTGTCCTGACTTTGTCCATTGGCGTATTTTCCCGTGTGGATGGATGTATTCATGTGTCATTTGTAGAATAGACACGTGACTGCACGCATGTGGGTATATGTGCCGTCAGAGCCAAAGCTAGCGGCCTATCAGATGGTAAATGCTAGATGTATTTTTATTTGAGTGAAGACTGAGGTAAGGCTGCTTACCCTTGTGATGCTTATTTGCCATTGTTTTGGAAATGATGAGCCAGGGCTGTTAGACAAGACACAGAAAGAATGGAGAATAAATAACTGGAAAGGAGGCAAAAATGAACATTGGTTGGAGATGAAATGATCAGATTCTCCCTGGAAAGCCACAGAGAATTTCATGGATGAACAGAAACAGCAAATAAACATGTACTTATTCCATGCATGTAGAATTCTATAAATGACTTATTTGGGGAAGGATATTTAAAGGAATATTTAATAAATGATTGTCTCTGAGGAGTAGGGAGGGGTTGGAGGGGAAACTTGCTTTTCTAACTTTTTTTCACTTTCACTTTTAAATGAAATTTTGTATCATGTTTATATATTAATGTAGCAAAAAAACCGGATTAAAAATGCCATAATCTTTTATTTGGATAATAGCTTTTATTATTGTCTTAATATTTAATATTTAAGTATTATATAAAGATTTCCTTAAATTTTTGTTTGAACAATAACTTTTCCCCTAATAATCAAGATAAGAAAGTTAGGAATACATAGAAAAACCTATAAAATAAAAGAATAAAGAAAATCCCAGAAAAGGGTAACAGATTTGAATATATGAAACAAAACATCTTGTAGCAAAAAGGCACATTTGTGGTTAAAAGGAAAATAACAGCTTGCAGAAAAAATATTTGCCGTGGCCACATTGCAAGGGGAAAGGCCTAAATTTGACCTCAGGGGAGCCAGGGCTTTGAAGCAGAGAAGGGACATAAGACTTTCCAACAAGCCCTCTAGGTGATTTTAGTATTCATCTTTTGAGGACAGCCACCTTACACATTTATTGTGGTTTATTATTATTATTTTTTTAAGTAATCTCTACGTTCAACGTGGCACTTGGACTCACAACCCCAAGATCAAGAGTCATGTGCTCCACCGACCGACCGTGCCTACCAGGCACCTCTGTTTATCATTATTTTATATTGAAATTACTCCTGGGGTGCCTGGCTGGCTTGGTCGGTTAAGCATGTAACTCTTGATCTCGGGTTGTGAGTTCAAGTCCCATGTTGGGTGTAGAGATTACTTTAAAAAAAGAAAAAAGGAATTATTCCTATGCCCTGTCTCCCTTCTTGGAGGGGAGGGACCATGTTTTCTTAATCGTTAGCAACGACCACAGTGCATAGGTCCACAGTATGTCAAGTAAATGTTACCTGGATGAAACTGAGACCTATGAAGATGGTGGATTCTGCAGGACTTGCTAGATCTAGAGCTGTGCAAAGATTAGAGTGACTCCTGTATTCCGGTATTCATTCATTCATTTAATAAACTTTCTAAAAGCAACTGCTCCATGCCAGGTGGAATGCTGAGGTTCCACTAGAAATACAATAGCTCTTACTTTGGAGGAATTCAGAGGGAAAGACAGAGGAGCTGGGACTTAACGCAGATGTACCCCATGTGAGAAAACCACTCCTGGCATTGTGGGGGGAGTCTCAGAGGACTGCCCCTCCCAGCCTTTGCAGGTGGGGGTGGGGAGGAGTGGAAGACTCCCTGTCTGGTGTCAGTCTTCAAGACTAAAAACGAGTTGGCCAGTTAACCTGGGGAAGGGAGAGGAAGATGGGCTGAGGCCACAAAGAACAGTCTGGTGTTGGGTGTGTGTCAGGACCTGTGTGCAGAGCAAAGCACAGGTAAGTGTTTCTGGGGCTTTTATTCATTGAGTACTGCTTATTGATTCATTTATTTTCACGAAACTTGATTTGAAGGTGGAGAGGTTGGAGGCTGAAGAGGAAGGGAGGCTCTAGATCATAGAGAACCTTACTCGATATGCCAGACTTTGCACTTCATCTTCAGGGAGTGGGGAGCCACTGAAGGACATGATGCCAGCATGGGATTTGTGTCTGGGATGGCTCCTTTAGGTGGCCATGTGCAGGATGGGTCAGAGGTTACGGGGCTGTGGAATTCAGGAGCTCCTGAGGAGACTGCTGTGGTCATCAGCGTGAGAGAATAACGCCTGAACAGGCCAGCACAGGATAGGTACATTTAAATATTTGGAAGGAAAAACTGGCATTGCACCTGCTAGTTGACCAGATGTGGAGAGTGTAGGAGAAGGGAAGAGTCCAGGAGGACTCCCAGGCTTCTGTTTCCTGGTGGGGCACCAGTTGAGGCCGACTATGGGAGGATAAGCAGGCGTGGCACGGAGAGATGATCCACTCAGTGAGGTGGTGGCTCGGGGCAGAAGATGAGTTTAGCTGTGGCCGTTCAACAGGAGGTGGGGTAGCCAGGCGGTGACGTGGTAGACAGTCCCAAGTTAAGAGGGAAAGTGTGGGCCCGAGAGCTCGAGCACCGATGAGACTTTGTTGGCAGAGGGTATAGAATGGACTAGAAGAGGTTTCAAGATGGAACTCCTCACACCAAATTTAACAAGTCGGGAGAAAGCAAAGGAACACATTAAGAAGCCAAAAGGGAAGTAGGAGGAAAACCAGAGGAGAGAGGGTACTTCCAGAAGCTGTGGGAGGAGGCAAATTTTGTGAAGAAGGAACTTCAAAGTTTCAGATTATCACAGAGGGGTCAGATAAAATAAAAACCAGCTGACTGTTAGATTTGGCAGCGAAGGTGTTATTGGTGACCTTGGAAAGAAGAGTTTCAATAGAGAGAGAGGAGCAGAAACCAAATTGCAGTGGTTGAAGAATGAATGGGAGATAAAGTAAGGATGGAACATGTAGGCAGTTCTTTCAGGAGGAAACAGAGCTGAAGCCAGAGTGGGAAGAAAGAGGCTTTATTGCCTTGTCAACAGAAAGACTACTTGCTTTTTTCCTATGTAAGAGAAGCAATTATGTTATTTCCCAGTTAATTTTGTAAAGAATATTATGTGGTTCTCTGCTAGGTTTCCAGAGATTATTGTATGTATTGAAATTATTACCAAAATAAGATAGAGCTGTAAGCTACTTTGAAGAGCAGGAGTTGAACTCAGGTAGCCTTATCTTTAGACACAAATTATGTGTAGCCTGTGTCCACAGGTTGAAAGGCATGGCAATAAATTGACTTAAATGATTGTGCAGAGCCAAATCCTTTAAAAAGTAACGGAAATTCCAGAATATTTGCTAGTTTATACTTGGTGATTTCTTTTCTCAGAAAGGATTATGGCCCGTAAGTGTTACTTGATTTTAGTTTACTTTAAAAATATTTTAATGGTATAATACTACTATAGGAGTAAGAGCGTACATGGTAAGATTTAATTTATATAAGGTTGCATTTCATCGCAGGTACTGATGATGTTGTAGGTCCTGAAGGCATGGAGAAATTTTGTGAAGACATTGGGGTCGAACCTGAAAATGTAAGTCTAACCTATTAAGTTGGGCAAATCAGTTGACTATTTTTCTTAACTCTTTTGTCCCTTGACAAATAAAGCAACAGTAAAGAAGTAATGGTGTGTTAGTTTTGTAAGGCAATCTGGGTAACAAGTTCCAATTCTAATTTGATTTCTAAGCAGAAATTTTTGTTGTAATTGGTATGGTGTAACCAGTCATTTTTTTCTCTTGTTTACGTTCTTGTAAATAAAAGGCATGGTAATAAAGTAATTAAACTAGATGTTTAAAAAGTGGTGTGGGCATGTGTACCTCCATTGAGAGATCAGCTGGGAGACTGAGTCACAGTCTGTTCTCTATTTGTCCCCCTCTATAGTTAGTCCAGCCTAATGCAGAGTTTGTCCGGATCTTTGAATAATTAATTGTTCATAAGGGTTTTGAGTAGGTTGTAATTATCAAGAATTTTTCATAGCTCTTTCACTTCTGATTGAATTTAACACAGGGGTTGCTTTTTAGTATATAAAGGCCCTAAGTATTTCCTTAAAAACATATAATCAGAAGTTATTTTATATGCTTAATGATTTTTTCCTAATTCTTACCATGTTGAATATTTTTTCCTGTTCCTACATCATTTCTCTTACACTAAAATGAAAAATGATGCTCATGCAAGTGCCTTGGCTCATTAACTATGCAGTTTAATATTGCATTAGCCTCCAATTTAACAAATATGTCTTCGATCCTAAATGAATTTATGATCTAGAAGAGATCTCAAGAGCTCATCCCCCTCATTCACTCTTCTTGGCAAGATAGCTGGTGCCCATGTATATATCATGCTCTTAAAGACAACTAGAAATTAAGACTTCACACTTTTTTCTTAAAACTTTTCTTTACCCTTAATATTTCTATGCTTCTGTCCTCCCCCTTACTCCCCCCAGCACTACATTTTCTAAAGAGCCTTTAGCTCATTATATGGATTTCTGTCTTGTATTTTTTATTTTAATGTGATCTAGTTCAGGTATCTTAATAAATTATTCAGCTTGCTATATAGGTTTAGGGACAACCGGGCCAATAGTATTTGCCTGATGTGGTCCATAGACTAGTCATAGACACAAAAAAGAACACTTCACTGGCTTTATGAAGGAAGTTTCCTGATGGCAGCTGGGCCAAGGTTGGCAGTGTTTTCTGGACTGAATGGTAAGAAGGGTGAGAGTGAGTTGGGCCTGAGAGCGGGCCTGAAGGTTTCACCCAGAGCACAGTCGTCAGTCTAGATCGGAGGGGGCCGGAGGGGGCCGGCGGGGCCGGTGGGGGCCGGCGGGGAGGAGGTCAGGAGGCCGGGGTCAGGCTGCCAGTGTGAGAGGCGCTCCGGGAGCATTTGCTCTCAGCGGCAGGGAGTGCTGGTATGGATTCTAGTTCTTCAAATACCAGTACTCAGTAACGGAGAGCTGCTGTTACCTTTTGGGGAGCAGTGATGAGGCCTTTAGTGCTCGGTTTCTCTAGGAAAAGAAATAGTCTTGAAGTGTTGAATCACACGGAAGTCCAGGAGACCAAATTCAGAATATTATTCTAAAGTATTTATTACTGTACTTCATTTCTAAGACGCCACTAACAGAAGTATTTTATATCATCACTAAGAAAGAAAAGACATTGCTAAGTAAACTCTGATATGCATCAATTGTGAATGCATCCCAGTATCAGAAGTGTTAGCATTTGAAAAAAAAAAAAAAGAAGTGTTAGCATTTGAAAAATAAGCAGTAAAGTTTTTTTTTTAAAGGCTTGTCTGCACTGTTGACTTAGTACTTTAAAACACTTTAAAGGTAGGTTTTAAAGCCCTCACCTTGCCTGAAGACTTGGAGCTTATGATATTGAAGCAGGCTTGTAAAATTCAAATCTGCTGTCATTTATTAAGGCAGCAGCAAAATCCTTTAAGTAATTAGCATCCTCATTAGCTACGGTAAGAAAGGTCCATTTCGTGTAAAGAAATACTCATTGCAAATATCAACTTGGCTTTTTAGCCACATTTCTTGCATACTTGTGTGTGTGTGTGTGTGTGTGTGTGTTTCTGTGTCCTAACCATTGTTTTAACTTAACAAGTGTTTATGTGGAACTTTAAATCTTTCTGATAGAGGATTGGGTATAGATTTTTTTTTTTTTTTTTTTTAGATATTGTTTGAGAACATACCAAGTTTGAATTAGAAAATGTGGGTTATTTCACCTAGGTAAATTGATATGTATGCCAGAGTCAGAATTCCAAGAAAAGCTGAGGGATGAGGAGAAATCCACTAATGTGTAAATACTTGGAAGAACATGTCTTTCTGGGAAGTTCTTCTGAGTAGCCCCCTGGTCTCTTAAGTTAAAGTTTTTTAACCTATTAAGGGATGATATTTTGTGATGATGTGTATAATATGTAGAAACATGGGTTTACTAATCAGTGCTAGTTAATCTACCTAGTAATCTAGATTTTTTAATCTAAAAAACCTAGTGACTTTAAAAATCGATACGTACTGATTTAATTGAGATTTGATGAAAGGGCTTAGAGACTCAGTGGGTTCTCATGGATAATCATTTCCAAGGTGGAAAACCATAAAGTCAGCATGAAGAGAAAGCTTTTCATTAATCTTGCAGTTATAAATTAGACAAAGCTGGACGTTTTTAGTCTACAAACTACCTTGTTGGCAAACAAAAGGACAGACTTTCTGAATCTCCCTCATACCATTGTTCTGGAGTACTTAATGTGTGTGTTGGCTCTCAGGGGCTAATTAAATCATCTCAAGTGATTTCTAATTGACCACTTGCCTTACTTTTTTCATGTTCTGTCATCCTCTTACCACCATCACCATGTGATCCAGTGGGGCCACGTGGATGGTGGATTAATGTTTGGGGAAGTTCTAGCAGTTGAAGCCTTCACGTCCTGTGTAAAGAAATAAAATTAACTGCCAGATGTGGACTATGCTAGTCTCTGGCCAATTTCTGCAGAAACATTTATTTTCTTCCCATTGTTTTTGTTGTTACAACAAATGGAGATGTAGCCATTCAGCAGTGTTTATGCGATCCCCAGTTCAGGACTTGGGTGCCCCTTAGGTATGGACAACTGTCCAGAGATAACCAGCCCACACACAGAGTGGTGGGATGGTCCTAGCAAAGCCCTGCCCCTCTTTACCTGTCTAGGGCTGACCTACTTTCTTTTTTAGTTATTCCCCATCTTATCTTGGGTCTCTCTGAGGTAGACGAGATGGGAAGCCTTCCGCCCAGTCACGGATGGGTGGACTCAGTTCTGTCCCTCTGTGGAGTCCTGGACAATTTGAAGCTGGATGTACCTTTGAAATGTAATTTTGTCTTTATACCTTCAAGCATTTATTAAATTCACCATCAGGATCTCTGGGCCATCTTTTCCCTAAAGCAGCTAAGTGATAAGCAGTGCCGGAAACTAGAGTTGTCACAGTTCCTGATGCTTCCAGAGTTTCCAAAGACTCCCTCGAAGCCAGAGTGGTGCCCCACTGAGAAGTGATGGAGCTGGGCCACTCAGCCTGCGCTCAGTCCAGGCACAGCGCTTTTTAAGTAGAATTTTGGGCCACTTTCAAATAGTTTTCCTCCAGTGTATACAGTTAAATTCACAAACATTAATGTGTTTGTGATACAACGCCATTATTATCTATGACCTACCACTGACCTTTTTATTTTTTTTAGCCCTCTGCTCTGCACCTGCTCTGTTTCACTTAATAAACCTTGGAGATTGTTCCCCGTTTCTGCTGATAGCTCTACTTCATTTGTCTTAATGGTGGCATAGTATTTCTTTGTGTGGAGAGCATTCAGCAAGGAAATATTTAATTAGGCCCTTATTGATAGGTGTTTGGTTCTCAGTCTTTTGCTACTATAAATAAGACTGCAGGAATATTATTGAATAATAACATCTTTATGTACATGTGTGGTGTATCTATAAGATAACTTTCTGTAAGTGGAATTGCTGAGTCAATAACTGGTTTTAATTTTGGTGAATATTGCAAAATTGCCCTCTGGAGAGGTTAATGGCTTTACATTTCTACCATCATGCATCATAAGAGTTCATGTTCCTCCAAGCCTTTGTCAACAGACTAATTATCAAACTTTTTAGATGTTTTCCAAACTAGAACTCATTTTTGAAGTTACCCTGTTCATATTTCAGTGACTAAACTACCGTGAACCAGAAGCATTTGGAAAGTTGTTAATATGTTTTAATGACTGAGATCTGTCATTCTGATCTGATTGGTCTTTCTAATTTTTTGTTTGTTTGTTTTTATACAGGTAGTTATGCTTGTCCTAGCTTGGAAATTGGATGCACAAAACATGGGTTATTTTACTCTACAGGAATGGTTAAAAGGAATGACTTCTCTACAGTAAGTCCTGAGGCTGTCCTGGGCCGGGGGTTTGTGGGGAGGCATCCACGCACTGCCCAGCTGGCTGCTTCCTCCCTGGGATGTCAGGGAGCCCAGGCTGGGTGACTGGTGGAAGCCAAGTGATCTGGCAGACTTCACCTGTGGCCATAGGTGTAAAGACCAAATCCCGTTTTTATGGTGAAGAGAGGACATTATGCATAAATTTTAGCAATTAAAATGTTTATATAATGTGTATTGTTTATTTTAGTATTCTTCTAGAGCAGATCTGCCCAATAGAAATAGACCAGCCTTTTCTCATGGATGTGAGCCACATATGTAATTTTAAACTTTCTAACAGTCACATTAAAAAAAGTTAAACAGGTAAAATTAATTTTAATGTATTTTATTTAACTCCAGATATCCAAAATGTTGTTATTCCAACATATAATCAGTATTTTAAGAATTAACAAGCTTTTCTTTTTTTCGTATTATATCTTCAAACTCTGGTATATGTTTTACATTTCTGATCCACCTCAGTTTGTGTTAACTGTGTCTGAAGTGCTTGGTAGCCACGTGCATCTAGTGACTACCATATTAGCACAGGCTTAGAGCTTAAAAAGCAAAGGCATATTAGCATCTGGTTTACAGGTAGGGAGAAAAAGTTGACTGAAGTTTAACTTAGAAATGAAAATATTTGATAGCTTCTATTTTATATATTCTGATTTTAGCTTTGGGCAAAATTGGAACTTCATTACTCTAGTGATTAAAAAGTAGTAATAACAATTCTGTTTGTGTTACTTGAGCCGGAATAAGAAAAAAAACCCAGTGGTTTTATGAGTTCACTTTGCACGCATGTGTGTGCATGCATGTGTGTGTGTGGGGGGGGTGCACACACTAAGTTTCATTCAAGAAAACAGTTGTTACTCTGTTATTGGGCATTGAAGGATACAGTTGGGATGGGTGATAAATATTTCAGTGGTACTGGAAGATGAAGTGCTGATTCATAACATGGTAACTTCAATCTAAAATACTCAGAAGGACTCTTTTTTCACTTTAACTTGGAATAGTAGACTTTGATATTTACTGGATTGAAATTGGAGTGGAAACGGTTTTTAACAATTTGGAATTTGCCAGCTTACTAGCATTGTCCGTTTGTTATTCATAAAAATGCTTTCTTTGTCCCTGGCCATAGTAGTTGGTTATGCACTTCACTGCTCGCTCGTTTGAGCCAATTTGTGGCTGCCGGGTGAGGAAGACCAATCAGGCTTTGTCCTGCACATTTTACAAATGAAGAAACTGAGGCTTAGGGATACATGATGTATTGAAGTAAGTGGCAGAAAGGGGAAGAAAATCCCAGACTTCTGATTCTTTAAGTCACGTTCTTCCTGTAACAGCTGTTGTCTGATGGCAGATGAGTTTTAGGTAAAAGTCAAGTCACCCTTTTACAAGTACACTTCCCTAACAGCATGCTCTAGAATTTTAGGGTTAAGTCCTCGGAAATCTCTTTAAAAATTGTGTTTGTGGGGCGCCTGGGTGGCTCAGTCGGTTAAGCAACTGCCTTCGGCTCAGGTCATGATCCTGGAGTCCCGGGATCGAGTCCTGCATCGGGCTCCCTGCTCAGCGGGGAGTCTGCTGCTCCCTCTGACCCTCCCCCCTCTCATGTACTCTCTCTCTCTCTCATTCTCGTTCTCTCAAATAAATAAATAAAATCTTAAAAATAAATAAATAAATAAAAATTGTGTTTGTGGTGTTGGGCGCATGTCCTTGACATTTCAAGTCTACTCACTCTCCTCGTTTCCCTCACGGCCTTCCTGTGCTGCCCTCTGAACACAGCGCAGGGTGGCTGCTCTTTTTTAAGGGTCCTTGTCATGATGAATGCATGGCCACATCAAGATTTTATTTCAAGGTTTCAGAGAAGCCACCATTAATATTTTTCAGGCACATTTTCATTTGTCTTCAGAGGGGGTGGGTATAATACCCATTTTTATGTCATTCTAGATTCTTTTTTACATTTGCCTTTACCAAAGAATGTTACACAATGCCAGGCCTTTCCCATATGAGGGCCACACTGCCTGGGAAGTGTGCAGTTCCCTGGAGGAGGTCTGTGTATGTTCAAGGGGTCCCGGGGGGATTGCAGGGACCCTGCCGGTTCTTTTTTTTTTTTAAGATTTTATTTATTTATTTGAGAGAGAGAATGAGAGATAGAGAGCATGAGAGGGGGGAGAGTCAGAGGGAGAAGCAGACTCCCTGCTGAGCAGGGAGCCCGATGTGGGACTTGATCCCGGGACTCCAGGATCATGACCTGAGCCGAAGGCAGTCGCTTAACCAACTGAGCCACCCAGGCGCCCCAACCCTGCCGGTTCTTTATTGGGAACCCCACTTAATGCTTGGTGTGACGCATTTGGTGGCAGATGGGTTCCCGTAGGAGACGGCCACTTGGTCCTTGGAATTCAGGGTGAAATGACAAGCCGCCCACTCTAAGGACATTGAGGAGCCTGCTTTCTTCTTTTGGTATGAAACTCTGAGATGGCTTTCCCCATCACTGAGGAAGAGATAATTACTCAGAATAACCTTTATGGTTCTTTATAGTTCAGAATAGTCCAATGTCAAGTTGTAAGAATCTCCACTCCCCCTCACTTGGGCCTTCCTAGATGCATGATTTGTTCAGCAAGTGTTTGAATGGCCGTGACGTGCCAAGCACAGTGTTCTACATCCTGGGGAAACAAAATCCACGAACAAGACAGTCCGTTCAGGTCAGGGGTTCGGAAGCAAAGTGCAGGCAGAAGATCCAAAAGTAATAAGGCCACTTCTCTTTAGGCTTCTTGAATTGATAAAATAAGTACTGTGTTTGTAAGGTATGCACGCCCAGTAAACAAGAATAAGAATGCTTAGAAGCGGGCGCCTGGGTGGCTCAGTTGGTTAAGCGACTGCCTTCGGCTCAGGTCATGATCCTGGAGTCCCGGGATCGAGTCCCGCATCGGACTCCCTTCTCAGCAGGGAGTCTGCTTCTCCCTCTGACCCTCTTCCCTCTCATGCTTTCTATCTCTCATTCTCTCTGTCTCTGAAATAAATAAATAAAATCTTAAAAAAAAAAAAATGCTTAGAAGCTAATCACTAATATGCTGGGAAGATGGAAAGTGGTCCCTCTTCTGACTTACCTATTTTGTCTTCTATTTTGGATTTTTTTTTCTTTTTTTGCTCTCTTTTGGTTTTATTAAACCTGTCCAGTGAAGTGTTTTGAACTCATACTGGAATTAAAGTGTATATGACAATACCTGTATTTATAATATATTAGTATATTTGATTAAAATGCAAAGTGTAAAAAAATGGTTACTGTACAGTGGGAGTGTGCCAGAAACAGAAAGCCCGTGGGTTTTGGAGCCAGAGGTTTGAAGCCGCTCCGCCACTCCCTGGGTGTCTCTGGCAGCGCCTCGCCAACCGGGAAGGGGAGGTGATGCACTGTGGTCACACCTGGGCTCTCAGCCCCGCTGGGGCCAGTGTTCTGTGAGCACCGGAAGGAATGACGGCAGCCGGGGGGGTACACTCCTTCCCAAGCTCTGCAGATCATTCTCAGCCAGGAGAAGGCACTGCTCATTTCAGTTGACTGTTCTGTTATTTATCGCCTTGTTCCAGCACATGGGCTTAGGCTTACTTCTGATGAATTAAGTTTATAGGAATGTTTACGCTAAACAGAACAAAAGTGTGTTAGAGATGTAGCCAACTTTGCATAGAAGTTAGAAGGTGCATAGAAGTTGCTGGGCTAGAAACATACCTTTGGCTAAGTGAAGGGGTGAAGGTCTTTCCCCCGGTAATGGAGAACTACTTTTCGTTTTAGAACTTTTGAGGTTTATTGTCCTGCTTCCTGGTGCTTCTGAATCTGTTACAGGAGCAAAACTCACATAAGAAATGACCCCACGGGGGCGCCTGGGTGGCTCAGATGGTTAAGCATCTGCCTTTGGCTCAGGTCATGATCCCAGGGTCCTGGGATCGAGTCCCTCATCAGGCTCCCTGCTCCTTGGGAGCCTGCTTCTCCCTCTGCCTCTCTCTCTCTCTCTCTGTCCCTCATGAATAAATAAAATCTTTAAAGAAAAAAAAAAATAACCCCACGATAGGTTCACATTTTGTTTTGGGGAGAGGATGCCTCTGAGCGGAGTGGCACAGTCTGCCCTTCTCAGGCCGATATGAGTCTTCTCACATGTGCTACACCGAAAAGCGGGGGCGGGCTGAAGATGTGGCTGCTTTCTGGAAAGTCTCAGGCTGGTTGCTTTAACTCCCCAAGCCAGTTTCTTCACAGGCCCTGTTAGAAGGCAATCCCTCTGCACTTCTCTTGTGGAGTGACCACTAGATGGCAGTCTGTGGTTCGGATGGGGTGACTCAGCGGCCTGTTCCCTGATGGGGGTGGGTGCAGAGGCTCTGTGGGGCAGGGCCCCTTTTAAAGCAGATTAAACTCTTTATTGATGATATTAGCTCTAACCGATGTCACGGTCTTCAGTACATCTAAGAAGGGAAAGTTTTACTTTGGGCATTTTATGCTTTACACTCCAGACAGGAACTCTGATCGTCTTTCAAACAGGACACCTTTGTCCGGGGTGGTGCTGGACTCCCAGGCATGCTGCTGAACTTCGTTCACATTTGGCCTTGCGATTCTACCTGAGGACTCACAGCTCCTTCCTTTTCTTGTAGCTCTTGTAGCTGCTACAAGTGTAGCAGCCCTTGTCGAAATGAGTGGTCCCTGCCCTCGAGTCTGTTGGGACAAACATCTGTTCTTCTTCCTCTCATTGGGCAGGAGTTAGCCAGATCACCTGCCGCTATCTGGCCAACTTCCTGTGGTTTTGGTCCTTCGCCTTCCCTTCCAGCAAAGAGCAGAGACCTTGGCCTTAAATGTTTTGGGGTTAGCTGGTTTCTCTCCTCTTTGACCCTCCCCCATATTACTAATAAAATATTGTTAGTTATGTATATATACAATAAAAAAATCAAATCATACAGTAGAATGCCCAATGCAAAGTTAGCCCTGCTCCCCTCCTGCCTCCTAGACTCCCACTTACCGCTTCCTTGGATGTCCTTTTAGCCTCTGTTTACCCCACATTTGGGATCTGGCACTAGATCTCTAACTAGGCTATCAGCATCTCTTTTTTTTTTCTTCCCCCACCTTTCTCCACGGAGATCCAGAGTGAGCTTTCCAAGATGCAAAGCCCGATGATTGTGGTCTCTGCCATGGTAGGGGGTGACTTCAGTTGTTTCTAGGATTCAATTAAAAAAAAAGACAAAACAGTATGGACCACAAAACCCTTTATGGCCTGGCCCCACCTCCCTTTAACTTCCCCTCTTCATCTACCCTGTCTAGTCACAATGGTTTCCTTTTCATCTTTGAACTTGGCATGCCCCCTTCTGCCACGGGGCCTTTGCACATGCTGTTCATTTTATCTTGCAAACCCTCTTTTCTAAAAATATCTAGTGTCTGCTTTTAGCTGTCAGCAAACATTTCAGGCCCTTAAAGAAGCCTTTTCTGCCTTCTAAAATAGTCTAATTGTTATCTTTTTGTACTTTTCAAACATCAGGAAGAAATAGAGGACGTTCTAAATTGTTGTAGATTCACAGAAATGAAACATTTATTCTAGTTTTTGACTTTTAGATATTTTATTATCTCAATAGATTATGGGAACTGTTTTGTAGTTAGCTACAAAAAAGAAACCTTCACAAATTTATTGCTAAAAATAGATCAGTGTGCTCTAGTATGAACCATAGTTTATAAGGTATATAAAATATTTACATTGATAATACTTACAATATGTATTATTTATACTTAGTAGGTAAAAGCTCTACAGAGGAATACAAGGAAGCACATCCAGCTTTGAAAAGGTTAATATTGTTGGTGGAAATGGTGACTCTTGGTTCTCATTTTTAAGGGCTAGATATTAGGAACAGAAAAATCAGTTTGTAAAAATAGCCAATTAGTCTACTTCCTTAGGAAAAATAAACAGCATGTCACTTACCTGTAAAAATAGGTTTTTATCACCAAAGCTCCCTGGAGAAATAGCTGATTTCAGGTCTAGGGTAGAGAAGGTACAAAGTGATCTGGGATGTCTTGTGCCAGAAGCAAGGACGTGCTCAAAGACTTGACGGGGACATGTCAGAAGGACAGTGGCACCAGCTTGAAGGGGCTGCTGCCCAAATGAGGACAATTTGTGCATCACAAAGAATAAAGGCAATAAAACATGATAACACTGAATAAAAGCAAAAATCCTTAAGTTCAGAAAAGAGGAAAGGTGGTGAATAGAACTTCTGTTTATGGAAGAACTCCAGCCAGTAGGGGCACAGCCTGAGAGAGTCAGAAAAATCACCATTTCATGTCTTCAAATGTAAAGTTGATTCGAGCAGGTATCACCAGTGGATGCTGAAACCACCAGATGAAAGGTTGTTGAGGAACAGGATTCACAGTCTCAAGATAGCATCCCATAAATTATACCATTTCAGAGGAGGGAAAGTACCTGTTAGTGGAGAATCTGGGGGATGTTACTTTAATTGAATGAATCAATTTAGTATCACTCATAATGGGACAGACCGACATTATGAGCCTCCTCATGGGATGCAGGGAGAAGGACATCATGAGTAGTGTTCTTATCATAAGTAGCTAGCTTGAGTATAATCATAGGGAAATTATCTGACAAATTGGGATTCTACAAAACAACTTTTTTCAAAAATGACATTGTCAAGAAAGAGGGGAAAAAAGGAAGGACACCCTTCTAGAGACTAAGGAGATAGACAGCTAAAAGCAATACATGAGCCTTGATTGGATCCTGGATCAAGAAAAAGCATCTATAAAGAAAATCAGGGGAACAATTGGGAATTTCGTATATGGGCTATATATTAGCTAAGAAAGTTTACACTGGTAAAATATTAAGAGTGATGATGGTATTTAAATGTCTAGGAGGGGCACCTGGGTGGCTCAGTCGTTAAGCATCTGCCTTTGGCTCAGGTCATGATCCCAGGGTCCTGGGATCGAGCCCCACATCGGGCTCCCTGCTCCGCGGGAAGCCTGCTCCTCCCTCTCCCGCTCCCCCTGCTTGTGTTCCCTCTCTTGCTATGTCTCTCTCTGTCAAATAAATGGATAAAATCTTTAAAAAAATAAATAAATAAATGTCTAGGAGTGAAGTGTCATAACGTTGGCAAGTTACTTTCAAATGGTACAGAAAAAAGTGCATGTATGTGAGAGAGCACAAATAAGACAGACAGTATTTGTTATGAACCCAGGGATGGGTATATGGGTGCTTAGTTACTATTCTTTCCATTTTTCTGTACATCTGAAATTTTTTTAAACAAAAAATGTAGGGAAAAATAGATCAGCATGAATGTGTTCCAACTCAGGGTTTTATTCTGTCTTTTGGTATTATGTTTTATATTACTGCCCCAATTAAGAAAAAAACTCAGATTATAATTTGCCTTTATTCTGTTTTTCTAGATGTGATACAACAGAAAAACTCAGAAATACTTTGGATTACTTAAGATCATTATTAAATGATTCTACAAACTTTAAACTTATTTACAGATATGCATTTGACTTTGCACGGGTGAGTTCTCTGGAGCCTATCCAGATGTTTCCCTCTCCTCCCTCCCCTCCCCCTTTCTTTTTATTGCCTTTTGAGGTTTGTTTTTACATGCTGCAAGCAAAAAATTTGAGTAAGTTACTCCCAGGGTGCTAGTTAGAATTTCTTTCTACATGTCCTCTTTCTAAACTAACTGATTCTGGGCAAAAAAGGTAGTAGGTTAGCAAAAAGCTGTGGTGGCAGACCTTTAAAAGCTCTTGCAGTTGGCTTAGAAGTCATTTATAAATGGGCATGTAATAGATACTTTTTAAAATGTCTTTTAGATAGGCTTGGAAAAGCTTTTCATTCTCATGAAAAAACAAATCTTCACCCATTGAATTATTGGAATAAACTACTCAGATTTAATCCAGTTTCACTTTGGGTGCTGTGTTGTATTTGGAAATCATTTGAACTTCAAACCCAAGCGAATTTCAGTGAACATGATTCAAACATAATTTCTAGTCATCGTTTTGAAAAGTGAGCATCTTGTCACATAGCGAGGCCTGTCTAAGTGTGTGGTTCTACTGGAGTGAATAAAGTCTTATTTTTTCAGCCTACTCACCATAGGTAGTGAATTCTGAGGCTCCAGTTGGCATTGTATTCATTCACACACAATCCACAGCCCATGCAGTTATACTCTACTCAAGAATGGTGTTGTGTTTTCTGTTAGGCTTGTGTGTTTGGTGGATTCAGGTGACGAGGCTTTCTTGATTGATTGTGTTTTAAAGCAGAGAGTTCGGGGAGAGAGACCTCTTTTTTTTCTTACCACCATGCTGATCTTTTTCATTTTTTACATGCTTTGGCTCTGGTAGTTGAGCACCAAAGGTTCACTTGATGGTGAATTCTGGTGCATCTGCAGTAACACATTAGTAGTTCTCTATGGTGTCCTCATTTGTGAATTTTTGCATTTTCATAACCTTCCAGTAAAGTCACAACACATGAAAGTTTACAGACATTAGAAATGATAATGGTGAAACTCAGATACAGTGTTCTTCTAAATGGCATTTGTATATAGATAGGAGTTATTTGCCAGATGCTTTTAGAATAGATACATAGTTTCTAGGATTGAATATTTTATTACATGAGACTGGTTTCCTCCCATAGTCAGCTGTTTCTTACTGTATGGGTGAAGTTTGTTTAGAAGCATTATAGCTTCTCACCAAAATAAGCCCTGTTTTCTAGCTTTTCTGTTTGGGGGTCAGAGTTTGCCACAACTTTAGCTCCAGGTTCCGTTTTACTCCCCTCCCCGGCTTGCCCCATCCGTGGTGCATCAGTGTGGCCTGTCTCAGAGGGCCCCTTTGCTTGCCTCTTTCTTGGTATTTCCACCATAGCCTTGCCGATCGAAGCCCTGGTTACTCTGGGCCTGCTCTGCCATAGTCATCTTGTTTCCACATTCTGTCACTTCTCGTCCAGCGTCACATCAGCAGGGTGTCCCGCATCTGCCTTCAGCCCCAGGGTCACTGGGCCACCTCCTGGCTCAGCAGAGCCTTCAGTCCCCGGTGCCTTCGTGGTACGTAGTGTTTCACCATGTGTTTGGTGCGGCTGTTCCCCCCCTCCCCCCGCCACTCTGCGTGACAAGCAGGGGCGGGATCAGTCTACTTCACAAAGGAGGAGAGTGGGCCGCAGAGGGGTAGAGACATTGCACCATGGTCACGCTGTTCATCAGCAGTAGATCCAGAACTCAAACCCAGGTTCTGGCCGCAGTTCCAGGCCGCGGGTCACTCTGGGCTTCCTTTCTCACAGGGCGCCTCTGTTGTGGTGAAGTCCAGTCAACTGTTCCCTGAACCTGCCACCTGCCTTTTTTGGCCTTTCTGCTTTCTGCCTTTCGTCATGCCGGACCTCTGCCTGGAGCCCTGTTTGCACTCCCACAGCTCTCTCCCGCGTCGGGCTTCTGGGCCCAGCCACCCGCTTCCATTTGGCCACAGCCCGGGTCTCCAGCCCTCCTGTCCTGGAGGGGGTCGGGCGCCTTCCCTGCGTGGCCCTGCTGCCTCCTCTCACGTGGCTGTGGGGTTTGGGCACGGGCCTTCGTTGCTCTGACAGAGCAAAGGATTATGTATTTTCTCTCTGTGCATCCCCAATAACAGCCAGCAGAGAGCTCTTTGCTTTTACTGAGCATTACCAATGAATTAATAAGCCCTTGTATGTAAGATGAGTAACTACCACCCATGTATAATCATTGCCAAATAGATTCAGTTCGGCTAAAATATGCTCTAAGATGGTTTTGTTATTGAACCCTTTGGTTTGGTTTGGTTTGCTTAGCTGTATCCCACAAGTTTTGAGATATTGTACGTGTTTTCATCATTTGCATTCAGTTCAAAATATTTTCCATTTTCCCTTGTGATTTCTTCTTTGACCCATTGGTTATTTAGAAATGTATTGTTGGTGTTATTTTCCAAGTATTTAGGGCTTTCCAGGTAATCCTCCCATTGATACCTAGTTTAATTCTGTTGTGGTCAGAGAACATACCTGTGTCATTTCAGTTCGCTTACATGTATGGAGACTTGATCTATGGTCCAGAATATGATCTGCTGTGATGAATGTTTTTTTGTGTAAAACACGTGAAAAGAATGAGTATTCTGCTGCTGTTCGGTGAAGTGTTTTATGACTGTCAATTAGGTCACATTGGTTGATAGCGTTGTTCAGGTCTTCTCTATCTCTCCCGATGTCTGCCTTCTAGGTTCTCTCCATTACTGAGAGAGGAATGTTGAATTCTCCAGCTATATTCCTCCTGTCATTTCTATCATGTATTCTGAAGTGCAGATATTAGGTTTAGATACAGTTCAGATTGTTACATCCTTCTAAAGAATTGACCCTTTAGCATCATGAAATGTCTCTTTATCTCTGGTAATATTCCTTGTTCTGAAATTTACTTTGATACAAATATAGCCATTCCTGCTTTCTTTTGATTAAAGTCTGCATGATCTGTCTTTTTCCACCCTTTTACTTTAAACCCATTCGTGTCTTTATATTTAAAGTGGGTTTCTTATAGGTAGGATATAGTTTCCTATAGATAACACAGAGACAGTCTGACTGACAATATCTGTCTTGAGATGCTTAAACCATGTACATTTAATGTAATTATCGGTATGGTTAAATTTACATCTCCTATAGTATTTCCTATTTGTCTCATCTGTTTTGTTCCTTTTTCCCTTTTGTCATGACTTCCTTGGATTGAGGTATTTTTTTAAATGATGCCATTTTAATCATTCCATTCCACTATTGCCTTAATAGCTGCCTCTCTGTCTCATTTTTCTTGTGGTTGCTCTAGGCTTTACATACGCATCTTTAAATTTTCACAATCTACAGATAATATTGTACCACTTCATGTATAATGCAAGAACCTTTACGACAGTAGACTTTCATTTTGCGTTCCCATACTCTGCTGCTGCTGTGGTACATTTTACTTACACATGGATTGCGAATCTCACAGTATATTGTCTTAGTCTATTCAGGCTGCTGTAACAGATGCCAGAGACTAAGCTGCTTATAAGTAACAGAAGTCTGTCTTGCAGTCCAGGATCAAGGTGTCAGCAGGTTAGGTCTCTGGTGATTGCCTGAAGCCTGATCCTACGATGGTTCTCTGCTGTAACCTCACGTGGCAGAAGGGAGGAGAGAACTCTGTGGTCTCCTTTTATAAGGGCACTAATCTGCAGCCTCATGACCTAACCCCCTCCCAGAGGCCGCACCTCCTAATACCCATCACCGTGGGGGTTAGGATTTCAACGTATGAATTCAGGGGGCACCACAAACATCAGACCATAGCATACATTGTTATCATTTTTCCTTTAACTAGTCAAAAATATCTTTTATAAACCACTTTTGTGCTCTTTATTTCTTTTGCGTAGATCCACATTTCTTCCTGGTATCGTTTGCCTTCTGCCTAAAAAATTCCCTTTAACATTTCTCATAGTATAGATTTTCTGGTAATGAGTTCTCTAAGCTTTTAATTTGCCTTCAATTTAGAAGGTGGTTCTCTGGATAAAAGATTATAGATTGACTATTACTATTCTTTCTTTAATGATCTCTTTCCCTTGTCTTCTGTCTCACATAGTTTCTGATGATAAGTCTGATGTTCATTTTTCCTTTGAACATAGTGTCTTGTTTTCTAACTGCTTTTATTCTTTTTCACTCCTTTTGGGCAAGTTGATTATGATATGCTTTGGTATAATTTTCCTTATGTTTATTCTGGTTAGGGTTTGTTCAGTTTTTTGAATGTGTGGACTTACAGGTTGTATTAAGTTGGGAAATTTGTCAGCTGTTATTTCTCCAGTATTTTTGCTGTTCTCCCTTACTCTCTTTCTGGGACTGCAGTTGTATCTATGTTAGATGCTTGGTATTGGCCCACAAGCCGGTGATTCCATGTTCAGTTTTGGGGTCCCCCCCTTACCCTTTGTAATATTTCTCACTGTGTCCGCTGGTATTAATCTTTTCTTCTGCAGTGTCTAATTCTGCTGTTAATCCTAGCCAGTATTTTTTTCATTTTAGGTACTGTATTTTTCAGCTGTAACAGTTCCATTTGAGCCTTTTTTATATCCATTTCTCTCCTCGTTATGTGACAGTGTCGTCTTCTACATTCTTGAACATCTAGAACATGTTTATAACGGGTGTTTTAACAACTTTGTCTTCTGGTACCATCACATCTGTCATTTTTGGGTCTCTTTCTATTCCTTAATTTTTATCTTGCTTGTGGGTCATATTTTACAGGTTCTTTGCATTCCTAGTTTTTGTATTTTTGTTTTTTGATCGGATGCTGGATGTTGTTGGTTCCTGGGTTTTGTTGTATGCCTTTAAATAAGGTTCAATTTAAACATTTTCCTGGTGTATAGTTATAGTTACTTGGAACCAGATTGATCCTTTGAAAGGACTGGGCTGGGGCAGCCTTCAGTTTTGGGATGATTCAGCACCACTGGTAAGACTCTTTTGAGGATTCTACCTAAGGCCATGTATATTAGGTCTTTCTACTGTAGCCAATGGGAACACAGGGT